CAGCAGGCAGTTACTCTGCTGTTCACTGCATACATACTGAGCAAGTCTCCAAGCAATACATAAATATTATTGTCTGACTCCATACATATGCATCTTTAGTACAAAAACCAGCTTTTCCTCAATAAAAGTTGTATCCATGGGACTAATGTTGATTTCTTCTAACTATGACTTGTACCAAATCCATGTCAATAATTAGATTAAATACATCAATACATGTAATAGAGCTTAAACAGTAAAAAAGTAAGAAAGTTAAATACTGCAACAGCTTACATACATACTGAATTTGAGCGACAGAACATAAAGCCTATTTACTTAGCTAATGACAATCACCAAAACACAACATACAGAAGCAATATCAAAGAGCCAGTACTTGTCTATGCATTTTTAGAGTTTCTTTCTTCCCTTTAAATGAAGATTGTGCACATCTTGAATATGATCTTAGATATCATTCACCATACAGCAACATTGATCCTGATATTAAAGGTTGGGTAAAGAAACAGACATATTAAAGCTGCAGGCCACTATGTAAACAAAGCATTTGAGAGTTTGAGAAGCCAAAATTTACTACAGCACAGGTTCATTGTTCAAACTAAGTGTACCATATATAACAGTAGCATTAATTGATAACATTTGTATTTAGTAGAAAAGGCCACATGAATCATTTAACCAAAATAAGCTAGGTTTTTTAAGCATTGGTTTAATTAGCTATGGTAGAGTCTAGGGAGGTATTTTAACTGAAACACCTTGTTAAAGTGAAATAAACTGACCTATCATTGTTCCCTAGAACACAGGAATCAGGTTACATATGTTCTGAGTCATCAAGGGCTAGTATTTCAGACAGCATTTGAGTTTAACCTAAGGGCAGATTAAAATAAATCTGTATAGAATGCACCATATCTAAAATAGATGCAACAATGACCAGTAAATTAGTTGGCAGTCCAACCTCTTACAGTTACAAGCCAAACAACTTCAGGCATACAAGTTATAGCCAATCTATTAACTTCAAATTCAACCATTACAAGCCAGAAAGGCTCATTTCAGACACCGTTTTGTGACAGCATTCTGGACCCTAAGGACATGCATACAGCAGCTGTCCAGAAACAAACCTGCTAATAAGGAAGTTGCTAGAAAAAGCCGTTAAACATACACATGCATGGCAGTCACTTTCCCAACTAAAACACTATTTACAAGACATACTTTTTTTCTAATTTATAGTTTTTAACTCAACTTACAAATGTGAGTTCAAGTGCAAGACATCCAAAATGTGACCTTTTGAAACAGCCAAAATGAAAATGAGAGCAAATTGCAAAGCCACAAAGATATTAGCAGTAATTTTCTGATCTTTCCAGGTGAAAATTTACCAGCTAAGTAACACCAAAAAGGGTGAAGTTCATTAAGAACATAACCTTTAGGAAAGCCAACACAGTCTCAACCAACAACACTGACTTTTTGAAAAGTTTCCTCATATTACAAACTTAAAATTCTCCACAAAGTTATCTAGTATCTTACTAATGTATTATTGTCCTACAAGCTCTGCAGAAACTCACAGCCAATAAACTATTGATGCACAAGAAGTTGAGAAGTTCCCATGAGTAAGATATGATTAAGCAGTAACAGAATCTCAGGTATTGATTATGGCTTAGACCTGCATTGAAAGTCAACACTTAGATACCATTAAGTGAGTAACATTGTCGATATGAAAGTGAGACAACTTTGTTACACTGAAGACTCGTTTAAAGTGACCTTCTGCTTAGAAGAAACAGTAGACAACATATTCACAAATAACCATATCTCTTTAGCAAGAATTAGCCCTATAAGAATTCAACATTCCTTTTTACTCATCTTTTCCTTAAGATAATGCATAGATATTTACATATATTTATGAAAAAGCTGTTTCTTGAACAGCCAAATCTTTCCGTTAATTCTTTATCCTTCTTCCCTTCCTCATTCAAGTCTGTCAAATTCAAGAAATTGTTCTAGCAGCATTTGTGAGATCAGTAGTGCAAAAATATTACAAAAACATTTTTTCCCAAACTGTGACATTCTCATCAAGCTTGTATTAGGTCAACAGCACTTCCCATGTATTTAGAAACTCTGGGGGAAGGCAGGAAAAACAGATACATTGAATCTAGGAAAGAAGCAACCAATTTGTTTGCTTAGGGGTTTTGGGGGGAGTTTATTGTTGGGTGGTTGTTTTGTATTTGCTGCTTATACTGACCATTGTTACAACTTTGGTAACTAGTTCACTACATTAAGTTCACAGTTCTTCACTGACATGCACCTATAACATGCGAGTTGAACTGCACCACGATAATTGTAATGTCATCTCTATACATTCGAGCCAGCTCTTCTGGAAGACTAAGCATCTTGGACAGTCGCTCATGATCCACAGAGCCAAACTCATTGTTACCCACTGCATGACGTATCAGGTGAGTTGCTGCATTCTGATCTTCAAATACTGAAGAGATTCTTGCTCTCCTTTCTGTTAAGAGACCATGCATCTGTCCCAAAGTTACCTTATAGCCACCAACAGCTATTGGCTGTTGATGGTGAACGCCAGTGAGGTACTCCCCTACAATTCTAACCACGTCTTGCCTGTGCATTGTCTCCCACAGTCCATCTGTGGCCAAAACCAGGAACTTATCCTGCGGCCGTAATTTGTGATATATGACTTCTGGCTCAGCTGTGAGGTATGGGGGAGTGTGATAGTTCGGAGGAATAAACTTCGTATACTCATTGTCATTTAGCTGATCTGGGCCTGATTCTACTACTCTCTTCTGTAATTCAATACTCCATTTAAACTTCACATCACCAAAAGCTCTAAAAGGCATCAGGAGACCCAAGAGACGATCTTGTTTCACAAGACTTTTCGCTTCAGACTTTGGATGCTCCATTTTTACACGGTCCACTTCATGTTCATTTTGTGCATTGTGGTCATAGGACAGATTAACTGCAGACCAAGATCCATCTTCTTCCTGAACCCCAAGCATGGCCCTACTGTCACCTGTGTTTGCAACATGCAAGTCAACACCATCCACATGGGCCACACAGGCAGTTGCACCAGAAAACGCTACTCGCAGTACAAGGTAATTGAGAAAAGAATTTGGATCTCCTACTTGAGCTTCCAAAGAAATATCATTATCAAGCCTCTTAAAAGCATTAATTAAAGCTTCTTTCACATCAGTAGTCTCTCCACTGTTAAGATCAATCAGCTCCTGCCAGTAAGTTCTTAGACTATTGAAGTAAAGCTTGGAAGCTTCTTTGCTAAAATAATCATTGGGATGTTTGTGCCACTGTAAAATGGGCAACAGAGCTCTGCCACTTTCCACAGCATTTTCTATTTCAAGTAAAGTCTCATGAGGTAACAGAGAGACAGCGATGTAGTAAAACAGTCTTTCACTGACAGCTTGAGCACAAGCACAGCCTGCATGGCCATCAAACACACCCAGAAGCATCCCTCTTGTCTGCAAGCAAGTGGCAGCACTCCTCCGGTCTTCTATCGGTGCATTAGCAGGCAACTGGTTGCTATCAAAGCCAAGAACAGAACTAACATTTTTACCATCAAATTCTGGGACTTTAAAACTGTATTCATTTGCCTTCAGAATACTGTTGACCTGTGGAGGAGTGAGGTAAAATCTCTGTGGCGTAGAAGCATAATCCCTTGTGTGAATAAAATGATTAAAGTTCTCCTTTGGCCTACAGAGTGCTGCAAATTTCTTCTGAGGTGCATATCTGAAGTGACTGTGAGCAAAATGAGATGATAAACAACATAGATGTTTATGGTGGCAGTAACACACAGTACTGCATATTCTGCTTATCTCACAGCTACGAACCAATGGAAACAGATGAGCTGGTGCTGGCATGGCATCAGACAACAATGGCAGCCTGGAGCTTCGGACTGGAATTGCTGAAAAACAAGAGAACAACTATGCTTAGAGGGACAGCTTTCCCGTAACTGTGTTAAGACTATGACAGCCCCTAACAAAGCTGATTATATGAAGTTCATAGCTTCAGAGGTCCTGAGACCAAGAAAAGCAAGTAAGAGGTGCTTGTTTGTAGACACTACATTGGACTATAACAAAAAAGCAGTACCATACTTAAGTTCAGCATAGGTATTTTAGCTCTTATACCCTCACAATAGCAGGCAGAGAGGGAAACCATCAGCCAGGTGGACAATGCAGCTTCAAACAGAACTAAAGACAACAGTTAGCATGGAGCACACTACAGCAGTGCCACATTCTGCAAGACTTCTTTTGAGATTTGTTTTCCTGCCAATCTCCCAGCTGACAGAGCCAAGCATGGCACACAGGAGGAAAAATCATCTTTCTGTAAGGCTGAAGAAATAAAGCATCTAAGAATCGAGAAACAACTGTGAGATGACAAACAACTGGGTTTAAGATGAAAATGGTTTGCACAGTAAAAGGAAACAGTAGGTCAGACAGCAAATATTCTTTAGGCAATCACAAGTCACTAGCAGGTTTTGTTTCTTCTCCCCCCTTTCACATATAAAACTTCAAACTTGTATAACACCATGGTGTACCTATACAAAATAGCCACAGCACATTATGCAGCAATTTTCTAGCCAGTCAGATAAAAAAATACAACAGGTAAAAAAAGCAGATGCATCTTCCCTACCAGATTATCTACCCCAGTATATGTCAGAATTATAAATTGCTTTTAAAAGCTACTCAGTTGAAAGACTAGATGCAAGCAGTGTTTGCTTCCGCAATTAGAATAGAGCCCTTCATAACAGTCTAAAGCTAGTTCAGTTTCAAGATAAACTATTCACAGAACGGTAGGGATCAGAAGGGACCTCTGGAGATAAGAGTCCAAACCCCCTACCAGAGCAGGACGACCTATGGCAGCTCACAGAGAAACACATCCAAATGGGTCTCAAGTCTCCAGAGAAGGAGACTCCACAACCTCTCTGGGCAGCCTGTTTAGTGTCCACAAGTATTCTACTACTTTTGCCACAGAAAAAGCTTCCTTGTACTTTTCCATTCCTCTGAAGATTGTTCTAACCTACTCTTCCTCATTCCCACTTATGTAACCAGTCACAACACTAGTGTGAGTGCCTCTTAAATCCCTTATTCACTATGCTTCATGATGGGGAAGTCTTTTACAACATCATACTTGAGAAAACAATTCCACAGTGGAAAAAATGTAACTGTGCCTTGTATGAAGTACACACAGTTAAGGGGACTTCAGTTCTCTCTTTCCAACTTTTATGATCAAATTTCCTTAAAAAAGTTTCTCAGAAAATTAGAAATTAACTTACACAAGGCTTACTGCAGTCATAAGTACTAGTCTTTCAGCATGGCTGTATAACAGCTTTAACTGCTCTACTGAAAATCTGAATACTGCTGTGTTGTTGTGTCAGGTGCTTCAGTCACTAAATGGAATTTTTATTTTTAGTCAAGCAGACATACCAGTATTTCAGATGAGACACAATCACTATAGAATTTCACTAAGCCCCAGTACTCAATCTAAAGCATTGTACATAGAATGAACTGTATTCTGCAACCACCCTACTCTGTAAGCTTTCCATAGCTTCTGGTCAGTCGAGAAGCATCTGGAAAAACATCAAGCTTTAACCCATTTGCTGTGTTGCAACAGAAGGAAGCAAGTCACACTCTTCCCTCCTACTTGTTCTTCTTAAGTAACCAGGAGTGGAGCCCATTTCTCCATTACAAGATACAGAAATGCTGAAAACAAAAAAGTAGAGTTCATATTTCCACCACTCCGCTGGCTTCCTAGTATTAATGAGTGACTGTCAGTCTCAACTTACACTGACAAAAATCCTTGCCCACTGATTTCTCCCATATCTACGCCTAGCAGCCATGAAGACTGAAATGGTCAGTTTTCTGTCATTCATCTGTGAGGAAGAGCTCTGGTTGTAGTCCTGTGGATCCCAGCCATCTGTCCAGACAGCAGAAGCAATGCATTGGCTTGGACTTCCAGATGCCTATCAGATTTACATTAGCCATTTGCTTCCCTGAAAGTCTACTTCTCCAGCCCAGGCTTCATATGCAAACGGCATGACAGAACTCAACTGCAACTCCAAATATAGATCTTTGAAATCTATTCACTGCCTTCCAATTATAAGGGAGCTATTTTGGTAAGTTATGTATATTTCTTCACACGACATTTAAAAGCAACAATTTTGCTTACAGAATAGTAACCTACAAGGTTCTACAAATGTGCCTGGCCCACAGCAGCACCTTAGATTTGGCACTGGTATCCTGTTTAGACTCCAAATGAATCAAGTTCTGCTAACTGCTAAGCATTAATGTTCAGTGCTGACCCACACATGGTGCAACAACTGTTCTGACAGTTTTGCTGATCTATGATTAGGCAGAAAAACAGATATACTGCCATTACAGAGGCTCTGCAGTGCCACTAGAGGCTATTTTCCTGATTTTTATTCACAAATTTATCAAACATTACATTAAATCCAAGAGGAAGCAAGAAGTTTGCCTCAAATTTTCCACAGCCTGTATAACTTAGAATAGATCCATGACCACTTAAAGAATCAGACTGGCTTATGTACCAGACTTAATAAATCCTACTCAATTAAGTAAAAGAGCAACCAAGTTTGCCAACCTGTAGTGCAATGACCTTAAGTCTCTTCCATTTATCCCCACAACATGGATGCCCCAAATATAATCAGACACTCAAACTAGCCCTTAAACAATTATTTTAAAATTTCAAATTCATTCATGTTTGATCAAATGATGGCAGAGAAGGAAAACATTAAGTAAAAACTTTACAGTCCGATTAAGATTTGTCAAGAGATTAGAATCAAGCCAGTATTAAATACCCCTCCAAGCTCACAACACAATACAAATGCTTCTTTTCAAGCTACAAGTATAATATGGCCAACAGTGAGTGAATGGTCAATTTACGGTTTTGTAGCACTATACTAGTAAAGTATTACTCCTTCCTTTAATAAAGGCTTGTTGTAACTGTGCCATTAAGGTCAACTGATGCCGCACGGACAGGCTCCTACAAAACACCTGTCTTAACTGCGCCAAAGATACCCCTGGCTTCAGATAAAAACACCCCCCAAGTGCCTTGCAGACACTTGAGAAACCTGAATGAATTAGTCAGTTGGAGAGGAGGGGACGGGGGGGAGAAGGAACAAGAAACACTCCACAGCAGCAGAGCCGTGAGTCCTTCCCTGCGGCCAGGCGCCGGCCTGCGGACACTGCCCGGCCCGGCAGCCCCTTCCCCAGGCCCCACCGACCGCGGTGCCGGCGCTCCGGGGAGCGCCGGTGCGAGATACATACCGATCCGCCTGGGCCCAGGACACACACACATTCTCCTGTCACAACAAGAAGCCGCCAACATCCACA